TCCTAAACATCAAAAAACAGGGCAACCTTCAACTTGAATTCCAGGAGCAGTAGGACAAGAGGCAAGAGGACAATTCTCACCATTTGCACCCCACCAATTCCCTATCGAAATCCCATTCATCGTCAAGCTAAAGTATAACAACACTCCCATGAACGCCAAACCCGCGTCCAATGCTGCCGATAGCACATAGTTATACCTCTGCCACCACTTCTTACAGTGCTTAAACACAAAGTAATTGAACACCACACCAACTATGATCCAACAGTTGAAGTTCACGCTTGTCGCGGGCGGCATTGCAGCTGTTGCACCCAAAAGAACAGGCAGGTTGATCTGCGAGATCCATGTTTTTGTCGGAAATGCTCTTTGGAGAAGCCATACTAAAACTGGTCCTATTAGTCCACCTAAGAAGAACCAGTTTAGTGCAGGGTAGTTTCCTAGCCTACCAAAGATTCTCTTAGGTCCTACTAATCCCCATATCACTGATGCGTCGAAGAAAACTCTGTCGCTCGGACATGTCCATGGACTGTTTGGTGGGAGTAACTCTTTCTGGCAAATGTTTTCTACTGATGTAAGCAAGTACCATGCTACTGATATATTCACTGTTCCTGCTATGATTGTTCCTATGAACTGGACTAAAAACATCGATCTTGGCGGTATTTTCATGTAATGGCCTAGCTTGAAGTCGTTAAGGAATGAAATTGCTTGTGACATGCTTATGTACCCGTAAGTTTTGAAGACGACGTTAGCGATTGGTCTTCCTGGTAACAACACACCCATGAGATATTCTGTGATGATGTTCAGTCCTGGAGTCTGCCACAAAGAGTTTGCAAGTGAGAAAAACAGAATGATCTACTTAAATCATGTTTTGGTAGGGGAAGTTGTGGTGTGTACCTGATTAGTTGTAGCTGTGATAATGCTGACTGGTACAGTGAAGATTAAGGCCATGAATGATGCAAGAAGAAGTCCCCACCATGGCATTTGGATCTCGTCTTTCATGAAGAGGCAAAGAACAAGAGACAGTGCCAGTGAGATCACGAGCAGAACGTAAAACCACCAACCCGGTATGTCCTTGTACTTCTTCATCAACCTTGTGTGTATGTCCACTTTAGCTGAGGCTGAAGCTCGTACTTGTTGCCAAATTCCCCTAAGTGAAACAAGATTAGTAAAAATTTAGTAATATTCAGAGATTGTAGGTTCATGAGTTCATTACTGATCAGACTTACTTTCCATTGAAGAGAGCAACATGGGTCAGTGTGGAAACGATTGCCGCGAAACCAATACCGTAAGTGATAGCGAAGAATGTACTAAGATAAACCCGACCTTCTCGATCATAACTCCCCAAGTCCAATTCAAACTTATCATTAACAATAGTAGAGATATTGTAAAGCTGCCCTCTTGAATCAAACAGATCAGAAGAGAAAATAGGGAACTTGTGTGCTTCATACACATTCAATCCCCAATATGATATTGGGATTACCATATACATAATCAGAATGTAACCAACAAGAACATTGACTATTGCAAAAAAAGGAGTCACAAGAGGGCTTCCAATGTAAGAACCAACGACAGACCAATCAAGCGCAAACGAACCAATCCCTAGTCCTGACATTCCAGAGCCTAATTGCTGAGCGGTGATTGACTTAGGAAACGCCCAGCAAACCCAAGAAATCGACGATAACGTCAAGAACAGGTAGGCCGGGAAAACGTACCACGCGAAGCTACAAACAAACGCAATCACAAAGAACTTTCCTCTCGACATTCTCGCGTGATCCTTCTCATGAAGAGCACTGCACAAAGATTATCAAAAAACAGTCTCTTAAGCACAATCATAATCAAGAAACAATCTCACAAACAACTGGTATGCAACAAAATCAACATTACCGAAACAGAGAGACCTGAAGAACACTCGTTGGCCACCACATTTGTGCAGGATCAACCACTAACTTCCTCATTATACCAGCCCAACCATAACCAAGAACCTGTGTAGTGATCACAAGGATCCAACTAGCTAAGAAACTAATCTTCCTTTTGTAAAAAGCCTTAATGATATCAACAATTCCAACTGCATAAGCAGTACCAGATCCAAACCCAGCACCAGCATTAGCAAACATCGAGATCAACACATGCTCCTTGACGTTAAACGGACCCGGATTAAACGAAAACTCCCACGACCCGATCCGATACTTAGTCTCTGGCAAAATCCGAGCCATAATCTTCCCGAGAGGCAACGTAACCACTTGAACAGAGATCATCGTAATCATCAGAGGCTGAGTTCTGTATCCGAAGAAAGTATTGAGAAACGAGAGAAGAACACAAGAGAGAATCCCTAAAAACCACATCCGAAATGTCCATACGGGTAAAGAAGGATCATCGTGGTTAGAAACAGTGAGACGAACCTCCTCTACCGGAGATTCGTCTTCGTCTTCTTCTCCGGCGCCGATCGGTGGCTTGTGTAACTCGAGTGCAGCCATTGTTGTGGAGGGTACGTGTGTGGCTGAATCTAGGGTTATGAATTAGTGAAGAGAGAATATTGCGGAATCTTGTAAATAAATAAATAAATAAAGATTCATGAATCTGTATTTATCTATTAAGGATTCGGAGATTTTTTAGATTTTGATTAAAATTAATTAAAAAGAAAAGTATCAAAATTTTCCCGGAGGTATCGAAGTTTGTTGCAAATAAAACACGTACTCTCGTTCACCTTTTAAAGCGGGAAACAATCCTAGTGGTGCTTCGTTTATTTTAAATTAAATTTAAAAAAATCTTAGTATTACTTTAGGAATAATTCATATTTTTATTGCATGAGGCATAATTTTTCGGCTAAATTTACGTGATTCAATG